TCCCCAAAAGCGCTCCAAAATACAAACGAAATGCGCTCATGCCCCCTGGGCATCCTATAATACTCCTTAAATCGAATGAATTCAATATGGCCGCCGTATCGGTAAAAAGGTCTATTCAACCAAATGGGATAGAGTATTTTCACATGACGTCATGGCAGCCACATTGGCGTTCCAAACCAGTACTTGTGGGAGTTGAACTCTTATGTAAACACTTTCTTTCGTTCATATGATTTTGCACAGATACTGGCCACGTGAGTGAAAACGCTCTATTGGCTAGCAAAATGAGCGAAACCAAAACAACCGCTTAAAAGAAACATGGAACTTACAGTTTTCTGGAGAAGTTTGAATCCACTTTTCTTCTGAACTAACTGGCCGTACAGGTGGGGAGGGAGGTAAGCATCCTTTACAACCGTTCTGAGACAAAACGCAGATCAAAAGATTGATCTTCTTAGAAAGTTTATATTAGGGAGCTTAAGCAACAACGACGGATACGGCTAAGAAAACGTCACTTAAAAAATGTATTCGAGCTGCTTCAAACTTTATCGCGCTTATTCCATTTTGTTCAGTTCGTCAAATGTTGGCAATTTTTTCTGGAGTTGAATTCTAAAAGACTGTATCAAATTTCGGTAAAAGAAAAATAAAGTTGTTGTCTTGAGATCGCGTTCTCCACTAAACGTGAAATTTGGCATTTTCACGTCGTAGTCGTGCAGTGACGGCAAAGAAATGTACACAAAAGCTTGATGCACGTGCAGAGTGGTTGTTTTGCTAATCTAAACCTATTGCTTTTTTGCCGTTCTCGTTGACGTCGCCGTCGTCGTTGTTTAAGCCTGGTTTTCACTAGCGCACAAGCATAAGCACAAGCCCACGTGTAAGCAAGTGGAGACTGGGTCGACATGAGTATAAGCATAAGCACAAGAAAAACGGAAAAATTCGTTCTTCTTGTGCTTGTGCTTATGCTTATGTAGTAGCTTTGACTAGTGAAAATTGGGTCGACATAAGCATAAGGCAGTGGACCAATCATAGGTCACTTTGACTCAGACCTCATGCGAAACATATCGAAAGCAATATGGCGGACGATTCGTCCACCATCTTGTTTATCATCGGGTTGAGGAGAGCTGGTATCGAGAATTGAGTCAAATATGCCATTCTGCGCGTGCGTATGTCTTTATGCTTATGTTTATGCTTATGTTTATGCGCTAGTGAAAACCAGGCTTTGCGCTCCCTATTGCTTCGCTTACGAGAGGTGGTAACCAGAGAAAACAGCCGACGTTTGGCGACGCCACCACTGGTTTCCTCACGAAATGACGTCGGAGAAACGAGCACAGAAATTCCATAATGATGACGTGTCACGAGTCAGATCTGGGTAAAGCTTCAGATTGGTTGTGGAGAAATTGGTTTCAGCCAATCAGAAGCACTACCCAGATCTGGGTAGTGTCACGTCATCAGTATGGAATTTCTGCAGTCGATTTCCAGACGTCATTTCGCGGGGAAACCAGTTGTGGCGTCGGCTGCTTTCTCAGGCAAGAGTGGTGGTTGATGTCGGGGTCGGCGATAGATGTTCAAACAACAGATAATGCAAGAAAGACCATATCATTTAAACTTCGATCCTATCTGGGTTTACCTTACCTTTTGTTTGTTCTTCTTATAAAGGTATTCTCGTCTTTTTGTTTAACATATGAGGTCAGTGACTCGGCCAGTAGTTCTTCTACCCAGTGGACATACGCTTTATTGTAGTGCTTCCAATTGACAAACAAACAAATAAACACACAATTGAGGTTTCTCGGAAACTGCCCACCTACCCCTCCCCTAAGCCAAAAGTTTTCCCTAAATGAAAAGTGTTAATGTTGGCTTAGGGGAGGGGTAGGTGGGCAATTTCACAGAAAAGAAAATATACAATTTCTCGCAAAACGTTTGCATACACAATATTAAGAAAAAAAGTGAAGTTAGCTTTGTCACATTTCACCCCAAACCACTTTTTGCGCGCGTTTTTACAAGCCTGCGTAGCCAGCGTTTCCGCGAGAGTTAGTCGTGAAAAAAGGGACGAGAGCAAAGGGTGGGAGCGAGGGGAGAAAAGAAACAGCGTTTCCTCCATGTTTTTCTGTTCTCCTCCCCCTTGCTCCATTTTTTGGCTTACTGACTATTTTTTGTCACGTGATGGACAAATCGACGGACGAGTACCGGGCACTACACCCCGTCCGCGCTAATATTCAGCGTCCAATCATTCGGTCGCTACAGAATAAAGTGAAGAGTACGCTACTGAGGTCAATTCACTTCAAGTACCAGAAGGACTAACAAACCAGTAAACTGAACGTTTTTCACGTGGGTCAATCGTGTCATTTTATGACTTGAATGAAGACTTGTTTCGCTCCTATAATTAAAATATCGCTCCTTGCGTTCCTAATTTTGTGGCACAAAATCGAGAAAGGCAGTCAATTTCTCGCGCGCACAATTTTACCTCGCTTCCAGGGAAGCTACTTGCCTCGTTTTCAGGTCAAAATCATAACGTATCACACACGTTCTCCGTTGCCTCAAAACCACGTAATATCACGCACGAATTGAAATCTCGACCGCACTTTAAAGATTTGTGATTAATACGAATTTACTTATTCGCTTTCTACTGACGCGATTTTAATGCTAGGAAATTGTTAGCACTGGCACGTAATATCCAACCTTAAGGACCAGAGGAACACAATAACAATTTTAAGTTCTAGTTTCCTGTCTGGGCGAGTCTCCCAGAAGGCTGAGCCAGTCGCCCAGAAGGCTACAAAAAAGCCCAAAATCCCCTTGGCCTACTATACGCGCCTTCTAGTCAGGAAAGAATAAATATAAAATTGGTACCATTCTCCATTGATCCATAAGGGGAATCAGATAGTTTCGATAATTGAGATATTTCAGCCCACTTTCTACAGAGAGGAACCTAAAACGCAAAAAAATGTAACTGTTACAAAGGCCGCTGAAATCAAGTGATAGGAAATGCCCGTGTAACTTGTCATCCATTGATGCTGTGTTGCAAACTAAGATTCAGGGAACGTTTCTTCGTCTTTCACTCAAATTATGGTGCATCAAAGGAGCCCCTACATCCCATCTGGACATAGTCTCCTACAAAGCAAGTTTTCTCTTTCGTCACGCAACGCCACTCCTTATGGGGATGAGCGTTGCGTGAAGAATGAGATGTGATCTCATCTTTCAAGTTGAGACAACGAGATCGCTAACGTTCGGTAACTCAAACGACAATTTTGAAAGCAAACTAACCAGTTACCAGATGTTGAAATGAAGACGATCACAATAAAAACAGTGAAAGAATATTGTAGGCCAAAAAATTTCAAACGAAAGGGTTCAAAAATTGTCAAATGCCTTGGCTCCCATTCTTGAAAAAGGGCTCTCTACAATTTCAGAGGCGAGGGGGTGGGGGGTGACCTTCATTGGCCAAGTCTGAATATACCCTGCATGATGACAAGGCAAATTTCAGTTACATCTCTTAAAACTCACCTTGTCAAAAGACGAATACCTTTATCGCCCAGATGAAGTAGCACAGGACTCAGCTCTACTAGGTACTGGAGATTTGCCTGTTAAAAAGACATCATAATAGATCTGACACCAGCAGTTTAAAAGGTATAGAGCGCTATCCACCTGATAAATTACTTTCAATTGGATATGTATTAGGGAAACCTTTTACGTTTTCTAAGTGATTTTGTTACAAATAGTTATGGTGAGTCCTGGGACTCATCGTGTGAACAAATCATGAGTCCCAGACCAGAACCAATGAGTCCCCATTTCAAAAAACAGTAATTCCTAAACTGAAAATGCTTGGGCCTTTATGTGACCAGACAGATAAGAGATATTCTAATTTTTAGACTTTTGTAAAGCACAACGAAGACTAAAAGAAATATACGTCGTTAAACTACAGCGACAAGAACTGCACACGAACAGAATATTCTAAAAAGACAACTTCAGATCGATCGAGCTTTGCGTCCTACAACACGCATGCCATGAACTTTTGTGCCTCTTGGGAATTTTTATGCGGCAGGGACGCAGGACGCAGAGGTAACAAAATCAATGTATTTAGACGATAGAGTGGTTTTCGTTTGAGTGTCGTAAAACCAAAACCAAAGTAATTACTCTGGCCAATCACGTAGGACACAGACAATACATTGAACCAATCAAAACTCGAAGTAATTACATGTGGCTGACGCAAAGCGCGGGAAAATGCATGCGAGCGCGTCACAATTGGCTTTGGTTTTACTTCTGATTGGATGAAAAGGTGGCGCGAATCTTTTAAGCCAATCGCATCGTGTAGAAAGTGCAAAACCAATTACTTTTCGACACTCAAATGAAAACCGCTCTATTAGGGAACTTAAGCAATGACCATGACGACGGCATTGTTAACGTCTCTAAAAATGAATCTGTTAACCTGAGATCAGGCCGAATTTTAGCGGTTCTACATACATTCTCTCTAACGGCTACCGCTAAAATTTTCGTTTCGCCTTGCCCGCCGGAATGTTATTTACCAAGCGAAACGAAAATTGAGCCTGATCTCAGGTTATGAATCTGCATCCTTTCAAACTTCATCACGTCCACTTGGACCCGCTCAATTTGTCAGATATAGAGAGATCGTTTTCACTCACGTGGCCAGCATCTATGAAAAATTTGTTGGAACAAAAGAAAGCGTTTGCATAAGGAAAGAGTTCAACTCCCACAGGACTGCTTTGGGACACCAACATGGCCGCCGTTTCATTGTTTTGGGACACCAATATGGCCGCCGTGACGTCATGTGAAAACACTCTATAGGCGAACTTTCTTGGCGTTGAATTCTTAATATTTTATCCTGGTTCAAAACGAGAAAGGACCAGTGATCATTATTTTAAATCATGCTTTTCAGCACCAGGCTTCTATCGTGAATAAGGTGATTTGTGTTATATCGGTCGCTGCAGCTCTCCTACAAATCGTTCTTATGGCCTTTTTATCCTTATTATTGACCATTATTAATTAATTAATTGCCATTAAATTGTAATAAATTGTGTCCAGCTTACTTCATCCTCACAAGCCTCGTCAAGCACGTCAGCGGCTTCCATGGCAACGTCACTGCCAGTATCGTAAAGCTGTAAAAAATGAAAAAGTAGTGCTTTTGTTACCTCGCAGAAACGTGTCGATAATAAACAATCAACTGTAAATTCGAAAACAGCCGCCATTTGCACACCTTCCATCTTTAAACTTCTTAGACCTAAACAGCTTGATCTTAATTGTAAATCCATTATGACACCTGGATTACACATAGACTGAGCTATATTACGATTCCGCGATCAGAATTAGGAATATTTTGTGGTCTGGGATTTCCTTAATTTGCAGCGATCGGAGTAATCACAGGGAAACCAACTTTACCGTCAAACAAACGAACAAACGAACAAAATACAAAGTATCGTGACACATAATGGTATTACCTGTGTGACAAGTAGCTCAATGCCCCAGCTATGAAAGAAGGGGACACGCGCCCGTAATAGAACTCGCATATGACTGGTAGCATACAGTCGAGTGGCCTGCAAGCAGATAATGATAGCAGAAATACAGTATTACAAACTGATATTTTGTTTGAACTATTCTACCTATCAACTAGACCGTAAAAACAATCGGTTTTTTTCTCAAAATCGGTTTTAGCGTTGCGTAAGAATAGCGTAAGAGTCTCACGCGCGCGAAGCTCGCGAGTCTCGGCGCGCATTTTTAGCGTCTCTCCCCAGGCTCGCTCTCTGTTTTGAGACTCGCTTCAGAACTTTTGTTTGACTGTTCGCGCGTACTTGAATAGGCAAAAATACGGACTGTTTTGCAGTCTACCCAGACTACCTATCAACTTAGTGGTGCAAACTTATTACTGGCGACGCCTGTGGAAAACTGACTTCGCGTCCTTTTAAACCTTTTCTGGATTAGTCCAACTCGTTAAGTCTGTAAAAATTCAGGAAAATAAGCTGGAGCTGAAGACAGGGAACGGCGTCCGAGCATAGAGAGATACGGTAAAATTACACGCCTTGGCGTTAATGTTCTTAAATGAACTAAAACTTTGGTCATTTCAGGTCGTAGTTGTGCAGGACTGCAGAGATTAGCGTGAAGCACGCGCAGAGTAGTTGTTTTGCTCACTGAAACTATCACGTTTTTGACCCTCTGCTCGTTTGGCTTGGGTGCGCAAGCAAGCTAAGTGCCGGATGGAGTGCAAGAGCGGTGAAGCCGCCAGGAGATTGTGGCAGGAGCAACATAAAAACCGTTTTTATCTTTCTCGAGATTTGGAGGCTCGTTCGCGCGCGCTTTCTTGGCTTCGCCACTCACGCGCGCGCGACATCGATAATTCTCTTTTTGCCCGCCACCCCAAAACCGACGCCTGCCACGCAGGCTACAGCTTTGCAGGCGATTACGGCAATTAGATGACCTCGGTACCAGACCAAGCACGGAAGAGCTTGTCGGAGCACACCTCGGACCAAGTTTGGGATTTGCGTGAGTTTAGTCAAATTTCTGATTGGTCGAGAAAGTGGCATTAATTTTTTTTGCCAATCTTAAAGCGTGACTTGGCAAAACCGTCACTGTCAGCAGTTATAATTTACCCAACCCATGATTACAGTTGTACCTTCACTAACGCCCACCTCTCTACAAAGGCCACTTTTTTTTTTGGTGGACAGTCCATACATTGACTCTTGTTTAAACCTCTCTACAATGGCCTCTTTCTTCTGTCCCCAAGGTGGCCGTTGTGGAAAGGTTCAACCGTAATTACACAGGACAGATGACTAAACGTAGTGGTTTTAAGGTAAGAGGACGCAAAAAGTGCTGGGACAACAAAATTAATACATAGTAAATACCGGACTGGAAGCCGTCAGGATCTTTGATAAAATAATCCTGGGAATTCCACTGTGGCTGTAATCCAGGCTGGCTACGATCAGCTTCTGAAGGCTGTCACGTGACGGCAATGAACAAAGTTCAATCAAACTAGGAAACAAGAAAATAGAGCCGCCTGTGTCATTGACTGACAAATCATCTTTCTGAAGAAAAGGGAATGTTAGATGACTGTTTCCCGCCAAGACTTGTGGAGTAGAGCGGCCCCGCTCAAAAAGTTTGGGCGGGAAACATGAAGTTAGACAGTAACAAAGCATTAATTATTCCCGAGAAACGGAAATGCGTGGATGTACTAAGATAGGCTTTCTTTGTATAACATCACTGCGAGCAAATTTAACGATTTGAACTATCGTAGCGATCATACTGACACCAGGTTACAGTAGAAATAAAGAGTCAATGAAGTCTATCCAGTAGGTAACACTGATCGCTTGATTGCAGAGCTGTTTCCATTCACCTACTGTGATCGCTGAATTTTCTGATCGCTAAATCGTTCCTAGCGATCTGTATTGGTCATGTGGCCCCAACTAAATTTGAATTTACCGCTCACGAGATACACTCGCGCGATGTGTTCTTAATCTTAAACAAACTGTGATTTTTATGAAGATATGTAATTTCCCTTTTATTCACTTTTTAAAATCCTTGTACATAATTTGAAAGTAATTTTAAGTTTTTAAGATTTTTATCGTGTGATTGTAATTTACGCAGGGCCCCTATTTATACCAGCCTATAGTTGAAAGGGCTACCCTGCCTAAACAAAGTTGACTTGACTTCTTGTTTCCCCTGAACGAGTAAATAAAATTAATCCCTCTAGAAAAAAAAGGATTAACTGTTAAAGTTTATACCAAACAGGTGCTTAGTTTTTCTTGACCAACATGAACTAGCCGTAAACGAAAAAATGAAATTAAATGGCGCACTCACTATTGGTATATTCCAGTCCTCTCGAGCAGTTTGGAGCCACCTTTAGTGCACGCCACTTTACCAAGAAACAGAAAGTAATCTCTGCTAAGCGTGCTCAGGACATTGTTGTTACTAAGGACACCGGTTGTGATGCTAGGAGACAAAGCCTGGGGATGACAGGTTATAAATATTTATTTCATTTATCTTGTCAATTTTAATGTGGCTAAATTGTCATTAAGGCAAGTTTAATCTTAAGACAACGCTTGCGGGTCAGCAGTTGAGCCCCAGGCAGGCAGGCTTGTGCGGGGTGACCGCTTGGTCTGCAGGGGCTAACATGTGATTGCATATCTCAGCTCAGCTTTGCTTTGCTTTACTGATCTTTGCGTATCATTGCTATTCACAGCTTGTGATATCTGCTGGTTTTGCACCCACTCATCCCACCCCCGGATAGGTAAGTATGGGTTGTAGTAAGTATTCCACTGAACTCTTTCAGTTGGACGGTGCCGGCTGATGGGCGCACGCTTGGTTTGCATGGACACCTGGAAGGCAATGCTCCCCTTTTGTGCTATGGGCCCTTCCACCTTTAAGGCACCTACTGACAATCTCATCTTGTCGATGAGTTTAATTAGTCTAGATCTCTCTAAATAAATAGTTTAAACTGAAAAACGACTCAAAGGTAAGTTGCGAACGGGACCTAAAGTGATAGTTCCATACAGGGTACCTCCCAACTACATCAGGCACGTCCCGTTTGTCTGGTATAATTCCGAAAGGGAATAATTTTTTTGTATGTGAGGGCAATTCCCACATAAAAGCCCAAACGGAGTTTATTTGGGAATTAGGCGGGGATGGGAGATGGGGGCAATTTTCAGAATTTAATGGTAGGTCCGTATCAAGCCCGCTCGAATAGCCAATCAGAACACAGGATTCGCCATATTTGCCCGTTCGTGGAATATGGCATTTTAAAGGGCAGTAACTATTATAAGCTGAGTTATGACCGCGAATTAAATTGCATGACATTAAAAAGAAAGCGTTCAACTAATGTCAATAATCTAACAGCGCTTAAATACATTTTGCTTGGTAAATTTTCAGGCAGCCGACAATTAAAATAAGAACTGTTACCTTAGAATGTTGAAGTAGAACCTACAGTAAGAGATGAAAAGCACAAATAATCAATTGTGTTAGAATTAGTACAAGTTATCACAGGCATCGTTAGAAGACAACGTTATTTTTTAGGCCATATTGAATTAATTCGATTTAAGGAGTATTATAGGATGCCCAGGGGGCATGAGCACATTTCGTTTGTATTTTCGAGCGCTTTTCGGGACATTTTTTCGTAAAGTTTTCTTAGAATAAGATTGTAATGAGTAAAAAGATCCTTGTGCCGTGTTTGGATGTAATAATGATTGCCTTTTTCCCGAGAAATATACAGTGAAAGACCATATTTCTAATACTAAACTAGAAAAAGGCGAGGGTCTGTATATTTCACGGCAAAAACGCGATCATTATTACATCCAAACACGGCACAACGATCTTTTTTCCCATTAGAATATTAATCTAAGAATACTTTACGAAAAAATGTCCCCAAAAGCGCTCCAAAATACAAACGAAATGCGCTCATGCCCCCTGGGCATCCTATAATACTCCTTAAATCGAATGAATTCAATATGGCCGCCGTATCGGTAAAAAGGTCTATTCAACCAAATGGGATAGAGTATTTTCACATGACGTCATGGCGGCCACATTGGCGTTCCAAACCAGTACTTGTGGGAGTTGAACTCTTATGTAAACACTTTCGTTTGTTCATATGATTTTGCACAGATACTGGCCACGTGAGTGAAAACGCTCTATTGGCTAGCAAAATGAGCGAAACCAAAACAACCGCTTAAAAGAAACATGGAACTTACAGTTTTCTGGAGAAGTTTGAATCCACTTTTCTTCTGAACTAACTGGCCGTACAGGTGGGGAGGGAGGTAAGCATCCTTTACAACCGTTCTGAGACAAAACGCAGATCAAAAGATTGATCTTCTTAGAAAGTTTATATTAGGGAGCTTAAGCAACAACGACGGATACGGCTAAGAAAACGTCACTTAAAAAATGTATTCGAGCTGCTTCAAACTTTATCGCGCTTATTCCATTTTGTTCAGTTCGTCAAATGTTGGCAATTTTTTCCGGAGTTGAATTCTAAAAGGCTATATCAAAGTTCAGCAAAAGAAAAATATAGTTTTTGTCTTGTGTTCGCGTTCTCCACAAAACGTGAAAGTAGAGCATTTTCACGTCGTAGTCGTGCAGTGACGGCAAAGAAATGTACACAAAAGCTTGATGCTCGTGCAGAGTTGTTGTTTTGCTAATCTAAACCTATTGCTTTTTTGCCGTTCTCGTTGACGTCCCCGTCGTCGTTGTTTAAGCCTGGTTTTCACTAGCGCACAAGCATAAGCACAAGCACACGTGTAAGCAAGTGGAGACTGGGTCGACATGAGTATAAGCATAAGCACAAGAAAAACGGAAAAATTCGTTCTTCTTGTGCTTGTGCTTATGCTTATGTAGTAGCTTTGACTAGTGAAAATTGGGTCGACATAAGCACAAGGCAGTGGACCAATCATAGGTCACTTTGACTCAGACCTCATGCGAAACATATCGAAAGCAATATGGCGGACGATTCGTCCACCATCTTGTTTATCATCGGGTTGAGGAGAGCTGGTATCGAGAATTGAGTCAAATATGCCATTCTGCGCGTGCGTATGTCTTTATGCTTATGTTTATGCTTATGTTTATGCGCTAGTGAAAACCAGGCTTTGCGCTCCCTATTGCTTCGCTTACGAGAGCTGGTAACCAGAGAAAACAGCCGACGTTTGGCGACGCCACCACTGGTTTCCTCACGAAATGACGTCGGAGAAACGAGCACAGAAATTCCATAATGATGACGTGTCACGAGTCAGATCTGGGTAAAGCTTCAGATTGGTTGTGGAGAAATTGGTTTCAGCCAATCAGAAGCACTACCCAGATCTGGGTGGTGTCACGTCATCAGTATGGAATTTCTGCAGTCGATTTCCAGACGTCATTTCGCGGGGAAACCAGTTGTGGCGTCGGCTGCTTTCTCAGGCAAGAGTGGTGGTTGATGTCGGGGTCGGCGATAGATGTTCAAACAACAGATAATGCAAGAAAGACCATATCATTTAAACTTCGATCCTATCTGGGTTTACCTTACCTTTTGTTTGTTCTTCTTATAAAGGTATTCTCGTCTTTTTGTTTAACATATGAGGTCAGTGACTCGGCCAGTAGTTCTTCTACCCAGTGGACATACGCTTTATTGTAGTGCTTCCAATTGACAAACAAACAAATAAACACACAATTGAGGTTTCTCGGAAACTGCCCACCTACCCCTCCCCTAAGCCAAAAGTTTTCCCTAAATGAAAAGTGTTAATGTTGGCTTAGGGGAGGGGTAGGTGGGCAATTTCACAGAAAAGAAAATATACAATTTCTCGCAAAACGTTTGCATACACAATATTAAGAAAAAAAGTGAAGTTAGCTTTGTCACATTTCACCCCAAACCACTTTTTGCGCGCGTTTTTACAAGCCTGCGTAGCCAGCGTTTCCGCGAGAGTTAGTCGTGAAAAAAGGGACGAGAGCAAAGGGTGGGAGCGAGGGGAGAAAAGAAACAGCGTTTCCTCCATGTTTTTCTGTTCTCCTCCCCCTTGCTCCATTTTTTGGCTTACTGACTATTTTTTGTCACGTGATGGACAAATCGACGGACGAGTACCGGGCACTACACCCCGTCCGCGCTAATATTCAGCGTCCAATCATTCGGTCGCTACAGAATAAAGTGAAGAGTACGCTACTGAGGTCAATTCACTTCAAGTACCAGAAGGACTNGTCAGTGACTCGGCCAGTAGTTCTTCTACCCAGTGGACATACGCTTTATTGTAGTGCTTCCAATTGACAAACAAACAAATAAACACACAATTGAGGTTTCTCGGAAACTGCCCACCTACCCCTCCCCTAAGCCAAAAGTTTTCCCTAAATGAAAAGTGTTAATGTTGGCTTAGGGGAGGGGTAGGTGGGCAATTTCACAGAAAAGAAAATATACAATTTCTCGCAAAACGTTTGCATACACAATACTAAGAAAAAAAGTGAAGTTAGCTTTGTCACATTTCACCCCAAACCACCACTTTTTGCGCGCGTTTTTACAAGCCTGCGTAGCCAGCGTTTCCGCGAGAGTTAGTCGTGAAAAAAGGGACGAGAGCAAAGGGTGGGAGCGAGGGGAGAAGAGAAACAGCGTTTCCTCCATGTTTTTCTGTTCTCCTCTCCCTTGCTCCATTTTTTGGCTTACTGACTATTTTTTGTCACGTGATGGACAAATCGACGGACGAGTACCGGGCACTACACCCCGTCCGCGCTAATATTCAGCGTCCAATCATTCGGTCGCTACAGAATAAAGTGAAGAGTACGCTACTGAGGTCAATTCACTTCAAGTACCAGAAGGACTAACAAACCAGTAAACTGAACGTTTTTCACGTGGGTCAATCGTGTCATTTTATGACTTGAATGAAGACTTGTTTCGCTCCTATAATTAAAATATCGCTCCTTGCGTTCCTAATTTTGTGGCACAAAATCGAGAAAGGCAGTCAATTTCTCGCGCGCACAATTTTACCTCGCTTCCAGGGAAGCTACTTGCCTCGTTTTCAGGTCAAAATCATAACGTATCACACACGTTCTCCGTTGCCTCAAAACCACGTAATATCACGCACGAATTGAAATCTCGACCGCACTTTAAAGATTTGTGATTAATACGAATTTACTTATTCGCTTTCTACTGACGCGATTTTAATGCTAGGAAATTGTTAGCACTGGCACGTAATATCCAACCTTAAGGACCAGAGGAACACAATAACAATTTTAAGTTCTAGTTTCCTGTCTGGGCGAGTCTCCCAGAAGGCTGAGCCAGTCGCCCAGAAGGCTACAAAAAAGCCCAAAATCCCCTTGGCCTACTATACGCGCCTTCTAGTCAGGAAAGAATAAATATAAAATTGGTACCATTCTCCATTGATCCATAAGGGGAATCAGATAGTTTCGATAATTGAGATATTTCAGCCCACTTTCTACAGAGAGGAACCTAAAACGCAAAAAAATGTAACTGTTACAAAGGCCGCTGAAATCAAGTGATAGGAAATGCCCGTGTAAC